ACAGCTTCTCTCATGTCTTGTAGGTTTGTTCTGTAAACTCAAATTCTTGATCTAACTTTCATCTTGTAGGTTCCAACACTCTTAAAAGGACTGCTCTAAGGGTGATGTTGTAGGGATACCTATAGATAGAAGAAGAGAAAAGGCCAATATAGACCAGCATGTAGACAGAGGCTGAGAAAGAACAGAAAAAGCGATGGAATTTGTAAAAGGCTGTAGGGGCTGGGGGATCCTCACAAGATAACAACTGTGGAGGCATACTTGCTCAAAAGGGGGAAGCTTTAAAGGGATAGAGCCTATCCATTAGCATTCAGCCTACATGGCTATTTAGAAAGAAGTCTCAGCCACAGATGAAGTCCTCACTATGGTTTTTGCATTTTAATCAACAAAATAAGCTTTGAAATCAGCATTCTTCCTCAAACACTGTAACTCCAATGTCATATGTGAAATAAAAAATATCGCTTCTCATCCTGGCCAGTGTGGCTCAGTTGGTAGGAGCATCGTCCCGTACACCGAAAGGTTGCAGGTTTGATTCCCAGTGGGGGCACATACCCAGGTTGAGGGTTCAAACCTCGGTCAAGGCACAATGGGAGGGAGGCAGCCAATAGATGTTTCTAACATCAATGTTTCTCTATCAATTTTTTAAAAACCACCCCTCTTTTCTAATGTACTCACATTCTCTCCTTCCCCCTCCTCCTATTACATTAAAGCTGCCTCTATCAAGAAGATCAGAGGTAAAGGCAGGAGTTATACATCCACCTACTCTCCAAATCAACAATTCTCTTCTGCACCTTCTCCAGCTCTAATCCAAGCCTGACCCTACTATGTGTTAAGGAAGTTCATGGTGCTGAACAGCAATGATGCAAAATGATAAAACAGCTGTCTGCCTCTGACAGAACAATCAGTTTATTCCAGTCTACAAGAAAAACTTCAAGTCGACAGTCTTTTGCTTTCTTCAAACCTCTCAAACTATATTCAAGAACTGTTTGTGTTTTAATTCTAATGCAAATGATAATCTTCACAGAATAAGACATTCCTGCCTTTGGAACTTTGGATGTTACCAAGATGACAGTCTCTCTGATACACAAAAAAGTCTGCAGAGAGAAAGCTCTTTATGCATACTGTCAGAAATATCTCAATGGAAAGTTTTTAAAAAATGACTTAATAAAATTCAGAATTCCCTTATTCTGTACTTTCCCTCACTTAACCAGCAATCTTCCTCAATCTCTAGTGCATCCCAGTTATACAAGAGGTCCTTATCGATCCTTTGTACTTAATGTCTGTTTATTGACATATCTATATGCCTTATCATATTGACCTACTAGAACAAATACAGTGTGGACTTTCTCCTTTGAATGGAATACATGTCAGAGGACTTTCAGTCAGAGCCTGCCACTTTATGAACACTTGAGAACCTCAAACATCATCCAGTATAATGACTGACTCACAGTTAGTTCCCTCCTAACTTAAGACTTACAAAAGCACCACAGAGCTGCTCCTGGAGAGGAAACCTGACTGCAAGCAGGTTTCTGTCACTACTCTGATGAATGATTATGCTCATTCTGAAGAGAAACCCCACTGTTGTAGTACACATGGCAATGCCTTCAGAAGAAACACAAGCTTTATAGAGCATTGGAAAAGTCATAATCAACAAAAAACAAAGCCAAAACACCTATGAATGCAATAAACATGGAAAACCCTTCAGAATACAGTCTCTGCTTCCTCCACCCGGAAGGACTCACGCTGGAGGGAAGCCCTCTAAAAGTGTAAGAGTTTCCTACAAGAAAACAAACCTCATGGTCAAGAGAGAAATCACACTGGGGAAATCCACACCTATAAGAAATGTGGGGAAATTTTAATAAGAGCTGAGCTTCAACTAAATACCAGAAAACTCATACTAGAAATTAATGAATGTACAGGACCATTAAGCTAAGCTTCTGCCCTTACTAAGCCTTAAAGAATTCATACTAGGGAAGAAATCTGAAAATGTTCTGAACTGTGGCAGGAAGAAAAACCTCTCCTGTATCCACAGACTATTACCGAGTATCTGCCTCATCACTAAGAAATGGCTACTTATCGGGAGGGGAACAGAACAGAGAAAAGGAGTTTTGTGTGAGAAGGATGACTACCCACAGACACTTCTGAAGTTGGTCATGCCTGGGCTAGTGGGGAAGTGAAGATTCTTACGATTTCTGCAGCACAAGCTATGGAAACAGCAGGGCCAAGTGTTCAGATGGAGAGGGATCTGCTGGTACACTGGCGACTCACTGAGCTGACAGGCCCAACAACATGCACACACCGAGGGATGCTCCTCTTTCTAGAGACAATGAGTTGCAGCCTTGTAAAACACGGTAATCTTTTAATAAACATCCTTTAGAGTTGCTAGCAAAGGAGAAGGGGAAAAGTATTTTAGGAGGTAAATCAATTGGTGATTCTGTAGAACAGGGGGAAAAGCATAAAGGGGGAAGGAGAAAAAATGACTTGGGGGTTTCTGATTGGTATTAAAAATGGGCAGATGGTGCAAGTATCTCAGACAGGGAACCTTAACAAATATACCAAAGCAAACATATTTTCCATGCAATCATGTTCGTACTAAGTGTTTTTTAAAATTACCGGTGAGCTTTCCTTTAATATTAAGTTTTTTTCATTGGTAAACATAATTTCTCTACCAAGAAAGAAAACACCTAAGAGGCCAAGTATCAAAATCTGTTCTTCTGTCTTCTTTCAACCTGAGTTAATTTCAAGTGTGATACAGAGTTAGAGAGAAACCAGGATTAGCATTACGTTTGATTCAGGTCTGCTCTGAAAAACATGTATTCCCTCAATGACCAAGGACGCTCCCTATATAATAAGAAATAACTTTTCACATTCAAAGATAAGGCAGATAGTTTCTACAGTGAAACAAAAGGTTTGGAATTTTTCACTCCCCCCCTAAGCAATTCTGAAGTACATGGCTCAGCAGACATGGCTGATAAGTTGCTTTACTGAGAAAGCAGCTGCTCTTCGTATAGTTGCCCCTTTCTTCCTACAGGCCAAGGAAAAGTTTAGGTGGAACAAGGTTAGCTAAATTCTGCTTAACGTGAAAGACTCAGGAATACAGACAGAAATTCCACAAACTGATAGGAATTACAGGGCTCTACATAGGAACTGAATTAGCAATAGGAGATAGATATTTGAATAAATAGAAATGGTTTCTAGTACAGGAAACTGAGTGAAACTTGTGTGGTTCAATCACCAGTCTGCCAATAAGATTATTAAGCCACTCAGGATTCAGACTCTAATCTTCCAAGTTCAAGTTTAGTACACTTTTTACTTCAGAAAATGTGAATAAATTGTCACCTGAAATAAAGTTACATATGGATATATACACATAATAATGAGCTTTAATTGAAATAGTTTTGATGTAACTTAACCTGAAGATCTTACAGTTTCATACAGTATACACACAAACAGGGTAGACAAAAGTACATTTACAGTTGCGAGTACATGAAACAAGAGCTTATTCATGTATTATTATTGTATTATTTACCATACGAACGGTAAACCTACTTTTGCCCATGCCTGCATACACACACACACAGGTTTTTTAGTTTTTTTCATATACAGAGACTTGAACATTTGTCTAGTGGACAAAAACATGAAGATAAATTTACTAGATTCAGTAATATCCACTATCTTCTCATAATATTTTGTTAAATTTTAACAAAAAGAATTCCTTCATTTTTTAAAAGAATCTCTTCATACTTTAATGAAGCATATTCTAACTCCATAATGAGGTAGACACACTTTATGCTACTAAATATGACAAACCCATTAGACTGGCTGACATCATGGCTTAAACAATCTTTTGTTAAACTTTTCAGTAGCAAGAGTTTTGAAATAATAACTAGTATCTGTACAAACATTTCAGAAAACAATTTGAAGATGTTCATGCTCTATGACTAATACGCTCGAGTGCAGATATCAACATGGATGCTACTCAGCAACACTGAACATGAGAAACATGCTAAAGACGACAAAAAAATAGGATACCATTTACATAAAAATGTAAAACCTGCAATAGCACACACTGCTAAGGGATATATGTGCTTGCAGAAAAATACTAAGTACACAGGAATGACATGGATCCACACTGGACAGTGGTGATGGACAGTGGTTGCCTTGGTGGGAGGAGGGAAGAGAGATGAATGTGGGAGAGTGAAGAGTGGCTTCAGCAGTACTGGGTAGGCAGATGCACATGGATTCATCTTATTATTCTTTATGTCTTATATTAAATACTTCGTGATGAACTAGAAAACACTTTTCTGCCAAATGACAAACTCCAATTTATGCTGCCCGATGTCACGTAACCTTGGTGATTATATGAGTAATGGTCTGCTAGCCCTCACTCGACCTCCCACCTTTGGCTATCTGCCCACCATTAACTCGCTGCAGCTGACTGGCCTCTGCCCTGGCTCTCACAACTCACTCCAGTAAGCGTTTCCCTTATGTAAGCATAACGAGTGGCTTACAGTGGGTAGATGCTTGATAAATGTTAGTCTCCTTTAAAAAACAAAATAAAACAAAAATGCCGTCCTGGATTCTCTCTCTCCTCTCCAAAATGTCAACACACTGTCCTATTAGAAAGTCATAAAAAAAAGGTGTAAGGGAAGAGACTGAAGTAAGTTGTGAAACCCAGTATCTAATTTCCTTTCTCCCATTAAAAAGCTTCAAAGCCTTGGGTAAATCCCTCACTCTCTCGAAGTCTATCTCCCCCTTCACTGAAGTGCTGAAGCCAAATCTACTAAAATGATTCCTACAGTCCCACCTGTGACTCAGTGACGGACAGCTATGGACACCACATGAGTTTCTGAGGCCTGAGTAACACACAGATAAGTTACATCAAGAGCTTTAAACATTTAAAATTTAGAAAGTATAATTTGACAATTCTAAAACTTCTTAATTTGGGATACTATAATTACCTATTTTGTATATTTAAAAGAAAAGTTCTTAAAAGTACTTACATCTGGTTGAATAGCTTTAAATACTGGGACATCCATTAGCGTTATCTGACCCTGAAATAAAAAGTAAAAAAAAAAAAGGACCATTTCTCCTTTGGAACTTCATGATATAACAAATATTCTAAATTAAAGTGACATTCTGTACTAAAATATATTGAATAATCAAATCTTTATCAGAAAAACCTCAATTTATAAGAGCTTAATAAAATAAAAATTTAGCCCTTGTGCCATTAAATATAAGTATTTTTAATTATCTCACACCTATTCATATTTGTAAGATAAATGAGGTAAAGTCAGAAAATAAAAATAATTTTGAAAATCTGAACAGTTACATATTAAATTAAAACCAAAACCAAAAATCAGATCTACTGGCTAAAGATGTAAAACAAAATCCAACAATATATCAAAGAACAATTTGAAATGACCAAGCACAGTCTGTTCCCGGACTCTACGAGTTGTTCAGTATCCGGAAATCAATATATTCTGTTAACAGGTTAAAGGAGAAACAGAATAGAAACAAACATTTATGCCATTTAAGAAATATAAGTTTTTCTGGGTAATTTTCATGATATTGCAATAATGCCTTCAACTTTCATTTTTCAATTTTTTAATTACGAAAAAGGTAAAAACACTCCTAACATGCCAATAAAGTACAGTTGGCTTAGGGAGGTGGTACAGGTGGGGACTGCAAGAGCAATTACCATAAAGGTAAAGGTTATTACTTACCAAGCTAAAAGTGAAGTTCATGAAGTTGCTCTATAAACATCTACAGCTCTTCTTATGCTCCCCATTTCATCCCTCTGCTTACTCCATCCTTGGCCTGCTCTCCCTATTAATTCCAGCTTTGTTTGTTTTTACATCTCCTCTGCTGATGCTACAAATTCTAACTCAATAGCACCAATACTTAAACTATGCGCAAAAACTAGAAGGAGAGGGGAGAGGGGGCGCTTACCGCATATTCTTCTGGTGTAACCTTAAGAATGTCAAACACCACGGCATCAAAGCTCTTCTTCAGTTCAGAACCTTTGTCACTTAATGATTCAGAACTGCTACTCTTCTGTTAAAGCAAAAGAAAATGCATCCATTTTAATACAGCCACTGCCACAGGAACCAGGCTGGCATTAAAACTGGGGAACAGAGCAGGGGGGCTAACATGCTGCAGGACTGGGCAGAGCGCGTTGCTTATCTGGAAAAGCACTAAAGGGCAGGCAACTTGAAGCCTAACCTCAGCTTCAGATTTTTAGGTTCTGGAGTAAGTCATTTTCTTGTCTGCCAGTTTCCTCACCCTGACAGCCCTATCATTTCCTATAGAAATAAACAATTTTAATAAGTTCAATGATTTTCAAATGGGGTAAAGAGAAGTATGGAGAGAAGGATACACTTATGTAAAATTTTTACTAGAAGAAAGATTATTTTCATAACATAACCATAAGAAAACATTCAGAACTCTATTAAATTAGATAATCCAGTATTATTTATTTGTGAAGTGAATGCCCATCATACTGTAATTGATACTGTTCTTTCTATTATATTACAAATTTAAGTGTTTTCTGCTTTAAGGATACTGCTTTAAGTTTGAATTTGCTATTGCTACATGTAGACCAAAAGGTGGCTTTTGGCTCTGAAAATCTAATTTCTGTTCAGTTCCCACTTCCTCTGTATCATGAGATAAATACGTATTGTGCATCGTTTAGCTGAAATCAGAGCATCATCACTGTAACAATATTTAGATTATGCTCTGCTAAATGGTGGCAGGAAATACAGTTAATGACACACAAAAAATTAACCAAAGTTTCAATTACCAAGGTATAAGTCAACCTACCAGCTGTTAATACACCACTTTCGAGCACTTGTCCCTATGCCTCATTTTTACTTTACCCCTCCCTTTAATGATCAGCTAATTATCAAAATCATTACAAAAGAAGGAATCCATCATTAATTTTAGAAAGTTCTCAACCATAATTACTTCAAATATTTCTTCTGCTTCCCTTTCTCCTTCTGGTAGTCCCATTACATGTATGCTACACTTCTGTCACTGTCCCACAGTTTGTGGATATTCCATTCTTTTTCATTCCGTTTTAGTTTGGGAAAGTCCTGTTGGCACATCTTCGGGCTCACTCATCCTTTCCTCAACTGTCTACTGGTCACCAGTCTACTGGTGAGCTAAAGAAAGTCATTCTTCATTTTTGTCACAATGTTTTTGATCCTAGCATTTCCTTTTGATTCTTAGAGTTTCAATATCCCTGCTTACATTACCCACCCATCTGTTCTTGCATGCTGTCCATTTTTCCCATTAGAGCCCTCAGCATTATTAATCATGGTTAATTCCCAGTATGAAAATTCCAAAGTCTCTACCATATCTGAGTCTGGTTCTGTTTCTTACTATCTCTTCAGACTACATTTTTCTTACCCTTTAGTATGCTTTGCAATTTGTTGAAAGCCAGACGTGATGTATCGAGTAACAGGAAGATAAATATGCCCACAGTGTATGGGTTTATGTTTATTTAGGTAGGAGTTATGCTGTGTTTATTCTTTGTTGTTACTGGAGGTGCCTGAGTGTTCAATTTCCTTTAGCATCCTTGTTTTTCTCTCTCCCATTGTCTTTGGATTTTTCTAGAAACTCCTCCTTAGCCAGAGTCTGTGCCTGGCAGTTCTTTCAGCTGCAATTCTTTATTACACAGGAGCCCCGCAGATGTGGTGTTGAGGTGTGGGGCAAGGAGAAGCCTTCTACAGCCTTACAATCAGGTCTTTCAATGAGCCTGTATCCTTGGGCTGTGACCTTTTCACGTACTTATCAGTGCCTCTACTTCTCCCTTAGAAAGTTAGACAGTGGGGCTAGAGGGGGCTGGAGGTGGGTGCTTCTCTCCCCCCAGGTAGGTTAGACTCTGATAGTTTCCTTTAGGTCAGGGAGAACAGAATGTGTTGGACACACTTCAAAACGATTATTTCCCTTGGGCATATTTCAAAACGGTTGCTTTCCTCCTCTCCTGCTGGAAAAAGAAGAGGTTTTCCCCTGATCGTCACTGTGAGAACCTTGTGGTGAGGCTCCTAGAGGTAAAACTCACAAAAGCGGGGTTGAGGGGCCTAAGACTGGACCCCTAGGGGTTTTTAACTTTCAAGCTAGTCTACACACAGCTTCCAGCAGCTGGGCAACTACAGCCTAAGTATCCCTACCCTTCCTGGGCTCCAGCGACTTCTGCTCTAGGTAAACTATGATTCTCTGTATTTGCCCCTCTCTCTAGTTTTTTGGGCACACTGTCAGTTTGCTCTGTGACATCAAGTCACTGACAGGGCTAAAAAGAGTTATTCATTTTTAGTTTGTTTAGTTTTTTTTGTGTTGTGAGGACAGGAGTGATTAACTCCAAGCTCTTTACCTGCCCGAGCAGAAATCCAAAATCCCATAAATGAATTTTATACATAGTTTTATTTCATGTGTTTAATCTCTGTAACTATGACAAGCTTACAGTATGCCACCAATATTATTTTGTCCTAAGACTGATACAGAAATTTATTCATAATGTTAAGCATTCAAATAGGCATCAGTTTACACTGATCTAGTATATGCCCAGAAAACTAATTACATCTGTCAAGTAATAACCTGGTAAAATTAAACATAACTTGGTAATTTTTTCCAAGGTTTTAACTCATGCAAGAAAAGTTAGCAAGTAATAATGGTAGTTTTTTTGGTCATGAAAATGAGTAATCACTTCCCTTTTGATCTTACAATCATGAGGGATGTGCTTCTATCTGCTTCCCCAATACCAGTCAATACCACGATAGTGATAAGAAGCTAAGCAGTACTAAGCATAATGTACTCTAAGAGAAGAGATAGTAACTTTTTATTCAACACAAGACTAAACAAACTACATATTTCTAAAAGTCTGAAACAAAGTTTACTGTAACTACTGATACTGGAAGCTTCAAGCTCAGGTACATAACACTTTCAACAATAAAGATAAATTAAAAAAAAAAAAGACCAAAGGTAGTGAGAAAGGAGACATCAGTCACCCAGGGAAAGTATTTTATTCATTCTGTAAGCTTATCACATTTCTGAGAAACCTGCATTTTGATATGTTAATAGATCTGTATTTTAAGAGAAGGTGGAAACTATTCTTATATCTGAAGCCTGATGTAATTCATTCACTTTTAGGAGACAACAAAAATTTTTATATAAGTGAAATGATATATTTTATTTACAAATAATTGTGTACTGCTTCCTATAATACTACAAATGTTTCAGGATATATAGTTACAAATATACTATACATATACACACATACACTTAATGTATTCAAGTAATACGGTTATAAATATACTAAGTAAACATACATACAAAACAAACACACAAACATATAATCCCTGTCTCAATGAGGAAAAGCTATGTATAAATTCGTGAAAAAATTTTTAAAAAGTTTTTTTTTTTTAAAGTAACAGTTTCAAAAATAGAAAAGCTCCCATTTGTTTAGGGGATCAGGAAAAGACTTTCCTGAAAGTTTAGTATTTGAAACAGGTTTTGAAAGACAGTATTTTTTGTTCGGTGAGAAGGAGGGATATCAGAATGAGAAAAGAAATTCTGGGCAAAAAACTGACATAGGCAGGCATAACAGAAGTAGGAAAAGCTAAAGTTTATATGTATTCTTTCATGAGATTGTAAATTTCATGTAGAGGATTAGCAGCAGTTAAATCCATTAGAAAACAAATTTAGGGCCATTTTGAGAAAAGTCTTGAATGAAAAGCTGACCGTCATTTGTATTTAATTAGGCAATGAGGAACCACAAACAGTTTGGGGGTACAATAAAGTTTAACAGCTGTATTTTAAGAACACTAAAACTGAACTGCAGTCAAATGGACCAAACACAGCTGAGAAAAGAAGTGCAAGATCAAATTAAAAGGCTGTTGCAATAATCCAGACAAGAAATAATGAATGACTAAAAGAAGATGGCACTAGTAGAGTGAGGAGGAAAGGACTGGATCCTAGAGGTAAAGTCTAGGGGAGAGGCTCTAAGGTGGCTGCCAAGGATCTCTCTTTGTAGTCACACCCTTGTGCGATCTTCTCAACTTGAGTGTGAGCAGGACCTGTGACCTGTTCCTAACCAACAGAATAAGCAGAGATGATGGGGTGGCACTTCCAGGATTACATTACAGAAGACAGTCAGCTTCAGTTTTGCAGGCAGACTCTCCTGGCTGTGCTAAGAGAATAACTGTGGGGGGCGAAGGGGAAGCAGGTTTATGAGCCATCTAAAAATTTAAACTTAGATGGCTAGGGTGATGGAGATGCTATTAGCAAAAGTCAGAGAGAGGAGCTGCACTATTTTCTTTACAGGCTGTGCAGTAATAAGTTGATTTTGTTCATTTTGCAAGTCAAATGTCTTGTCCATCAGAAATGCTTAACACAACTGATGAGGGAAGCCAGAGCTAGAGGTAAAAAGATGGAAATTATTTGCATAAGAAAAATAATCGAAACCACAGATTTAGAATAATTTCAATGATAGCAAGGCCCAGGTAATTGTCTGGGGCAAAATGGAGTTAAAGTTATTAAGAAAATTTGAGGCCAAGGTGTTAAAGGACCATTCTTCTCAAACTATATAATAAGAAAAATAAAGAAAAGCACAGAAGCTAGATGCCGAAGTTATTAAGGACAGCAGGCAAGTACCCTAGATTTAAACAAAACAGTAAAAAAGGTGAGGCAAAAATAAATTCATGAGACATTAACGAGAGAGGTGAGCATTGGTTCCATCTTTATCTCCATCCTTAACACTCTAAACTACATCACCGGAGTAGCCCTTCCAACATTCCAGCCTCATGTCATGGTTCTTTAATCTACAGGCTTGGAATCAAGGGATCTACACAGTGAGCAAAATTATATAGTTCCAAATAAAAGAATCTTTGTTTCACTTTTACTATTGACCTCAAGGTTCCTGTCATGTAAAAACACCCATAAAAGAAATTCTAGGTGTCCTTTAAAACTAAACCCAAGAAAGGATTTTAAGTAATCAGTTATGTGTCAAGCACTTTAAGCGGATACGGATTAGCTGTTTGTAACATGCAGTGAACCTCTGAATGGCACAATGAAAACTTTTTTTTAACTAAAAATTTATAGCCCCCTTTCAAGTTCTGATTTAAATCTGTGACCAACAATAATGCTTGAAAAGTTAGAGTGCCAGGTAAGAAACCTGACACCGCCATGTCTTACCTCGGAAGCAGTAGCAGCAATGTTAACACTGCTTGCCTGCCCGTTCAGTAAGTCCATGCTTCCCACAACATCGGTCCCTGGCGCTAGTTAACAGCACAGACAGCTGACTGCTTCACGTCCAAGGCCACAAATACATCATTATTCCTGTGAAAAAGAAACAGAAAATTTTAAATGTGTGTGTGTGTTATTAGAAGTCTAAGAAACCAAATCCATGCCTATCGTCATGTCAAGAAATAAATTTTTTCAGCTTTACTAAGCTCTTTATTATTTTAGTTAAATCACTAAAGCCAGTTTGAGGGCAATCCTGCATGCTGTTTCCAAATGATCAGAAACACCACACTGGCAGTGCTCAATGCATATTACTGTTAGGTTCTTCATCGCCAAAGCAAAAGGATAATGTTTCACTTATTGTGAGAAAAATTAAAAAACTTTTTTAGTTTTAAGTAAATAAAGTGTAAAAAAAAAAATATGTGGCAGAGTTAACTTGTGGCGTAACAATAAATTTTTAGAGATCTAAATGACATCCCTAAATCAACAATATTGAGTAAGTTTACCATCGCTGATAGTCTAGTGTACAAAGACATCACAAATAAAGTATTCTGGAATGTGTAATAAAAACACCACAGTATGTATTCATTTGTATAGGGCTTTAAAGTTCATTGAGTATCTCACTTACCTTCACAACTACCAATGAGACTAACTAAGGAAGATACTATACTCATATAACACACACAAACAGAGCTTCTGAGCACACAGGCTGGTACATGAGGAGCCAAGAATAAAATTCAAGCTATCTAAAATTCTGGTCAAATATTCATTCTGCAACACCATGTTTCTTTCCACTTTCCTGGAAGTCGGAATATTAACCTGAGGTTCTAAACCCTTTCCACAAATAGCTTCACTTGTCTAGGATAGAATTTCTTCCTCTCTGAAAATTAAAGGTGTAAATGGACCTTACGGCCCCCTTCCAACTTTAAATTTCTATGATGTTTTTTAAAATTTCTCTATTAGTTTACGTTCAGTATTATTACGTATTGTTTCAGGTGTATACCATAGGGGTTAGACAATCATATACTTTACAAAGTGCTCCCTGATATTTCCAGTACCAACCTGGTACGATACATAGTTATCGCAATAATATTGACTATATTCCCTGTACTGTATTTTATATCCCCATGACTGTTTTGTAACTGCCAATTTGTACATCTTAATCCCTTCACCCTTTTCACCCAGTTCCCCAACTCTCTCCCCTCTGGCAACCACTAGTCTGTTCTCTGTATCTACGAGTGTTTCAATTTTGATTATGTTGTTTAGCTTCCACATATAAGTGAAATCATATGGCATTTGTCTGAGTTATTTCACTTAGCATAATACCCTCTAGGTCCATCCATACTGTCACAAATGGTAAGATTTCATTCTTTTTACAGCCAAAGTAATATGCCATTGTATATATGTACCACAGCTTTTTATCCACTCATCCACTGATGGGCACTTGGGTTGCTCCCATATTTTGGCTATTGTAAATAATGCTGCAATGAACATAGGGATACACATATTCTTTCAAATTAGTGTTTTGGGTTTCTTTGGATGTATACACAGAAGTGGAATTGCTGGGTCATAAGGCAAGTTCCATTTTCAATTTTTGAGGACCCTCCATACTGTTTCCATAGTGGCTGCACCAATCTGCATTCTCATCAACAATGCAAGAGGGTGCCCTTTTCTCCACACCCTCGCCAGCACTTGTTGTTTGTTGATTTATTGATGGTAGCCTTTCTGACAAGTGTGAGGTGATAGCCCACTGTGGTTTTAATTTGCATCTTTCTGATGATTAATGACATTGAGCATCTTTTCATGTCTATTTGGCCATCTGTATGTCCTCTCTGGAGAAGTGTCTATTAAGGTCCTCTGCCCGTTTTTTAATTGGATTGCTTGTTTTTCTGGTGTTGAGTTGTATGATTTCTTTATAAATTTTGGATATTAACCCCTTATCAGATGTAACACTGGTGAATATATTCTCCCATTCAGTTCTTTTGTTGTTGTTCATCTTTACCCGAGGATAATTTTTCCATTGATTTTTAGAGAAAGTGGAATGGAGGGGTGGGGGAAGGAAGAGAAAGAGAAAGAGAGACAGATGTGAGAGAGAGACATCAACCTGTTGCCTCCCACATGCACCCTGACTGGGGCTGGAAATCAAACCTGCAAATCAGATATGTGCCCTAAACTGGGAATTGAACCCATGACACTTCAGTGCTCGGGCTGATACTAACCACTAGACCACAATGGCCAGGGCTCTTATGACTTTTTCATAAGAGAAATGCTAAGTGTCTATAAATTACGTATTTTAAACTATATCCACTTTAAAAACTGAGGTGGAAATATCAATAATAATTCTCTTGATGCTAAATTTCCTCTCTCTGGAGAGCATTACATGACAGTGATGCAGAAGCACAGATAAGGACAGACTGCCTAAGTTTGAACCCAGCACAAAGTTGGACTTCATGCTCACTTTCCTTATCTACAAACCAGAGTTGACAATGAGTCTTTATTTCATGGAGTTGTGCTGAGAAGAAATGAATTAATATATACTAAACACCTAAGACAGTCTGACACACAGTAAGTGGGCCATTATGATGATGCATATTTTGTCTACTATCTATTTAATCCACAGAAAGCTTAAATTCAATGCAGTCTTCTAATTAAAGACAAAAACCTTAGGAATACACCTCCGGCAAAATGCCTGTTGGTGGGCATCGCCAAAATCCTAACTGCTGACACCTGAATGAGATGTATCGAAACATGTTTATGGTTTTCAAATAGTTAAAAATTATTACTAATGAAAGCAGCCTTCAGTCACATCTTAAATTTATCTTCATTTCTTTAGATATATCCTCCTCAGTACCAGCTAAGAGCAAAACATTATGCTAGAATTTTTAAAATGAAAATGTATTAGAAATAATGGTTTTTAAAACCATTTAAAATTCATTTAGAAAATCAATGTGAAAATGAAGCGTGCATAGGAATACTTTAACTTCCTCTAATCCACAGTATTTCATTCTGTAAGCTTCACTATCCTTACGACACTATTAAGATCAATTTATATTTACACTCCTATACAAAATGAGCTTGAAAATCCAAATTCTCTCTGAAAGCAACACTCAGTTTGCAATGAAACGCTTTCAAATAATTTCACTTTATTCCACATTCTATGCATAAAGATTAATTTAGATATGAATTCATAAATCAACAGTGCCCCCTAGTGTTAAGAAAAATATTTTAATTATATTGCTAGAGGAAATGTATCCTTAATCTACTATATGTACATCAAATATATACATTTTATTACCACTATTTACTAAAAAATAGGTAATACAGACCAGGAATTAACATTAATACATTTGTGAACTATAACAGTAGAGATTCAAGTTTTCTTGACCTGCTTTTAATTAAAATGTCATTCAAATTATTCCATGAAGATTAAGGCCATACTATAATGAATAATATTTTTAGTGAAAAAAAATTTTTTTTAAGTACAACAAAGCATACCTTAAAAAATATCCTATTCATAACTATTTACAAATGTACTGCATGTCAACAATATTTAATACTGTTTAAGGACAACAAAGCCTCCTATGATACCATAAAAACACTGTACGTCCTAAAAGACAGTTTATTTGTTTAGTATATGCTTCGAGACCTTTCTGTGCTTTACATAAAGGTTCAAATTAAACAATACAAATATAGGCTGTCCCAAAAAATGTATACACACACTTTGAATAATTATAAAGGCAATGTTTATTAAAATACATTTCATTTTCAAAATTGAGCTATCAGCTGTTAAAGTGTGTATACATTTTTTGGGACACCCTGTATATGCTTTAATCTTACTTTTCCTAGTACTATGAATGGCACAATCATCTATGACTACCAACATCACAACAGATCTTTTCTTAATTAAATTCATTATTTCCTAGCTATTCTCTTCTGAAACTCCTGAAGACAGTTAATCTGATTGTCTTTGGGTTTAAATCCCCAAAACAGGTGTATCGCTTCTTTCCAAGCAATATAATTCCCAAATCTGAAATGTGAAATGTGTAGATATAGTTCCTTGCTTGAGGTCACAGGACTAGGTTATTAAATTGCAGGCACATTCAGCATCCTAAAACCCCACCTTCTCAATATATTTCCACCAAAAAACCTATGCTTTTTAAATAAATGAACAAGGGGGTTCAAGTGAAAAGTGACAAATTCTCACTAATCTGACATCGTCTCAGAGAATCAGTTACACATTCCTTTATAAAATAATTTAGCTATCATCATTAGAAATATGCTAAAGATACAACAGTTTTACCAAAACATACTCTAGAAGAGTTAAGCAACAATATGGAAAATGGCAGTGAAATGCAATTAATTAGTGCAATTTCTTTGGAAACAACAATACAGAATTGATATGCTCATACACTTTGGATTAAAAATTTCAGTCCTGTAATTGCACCTTATCAGAACTGGAGAAAAATAAAAAAACTAGATAGATAAAGCTATTCAATGAAATACTATTTACCACAGTGAGAACCAGAAGCAACTTTAACACCTGTGTACAAATTCACGTTAAAAATTTCAGGTGGACAGCCCTAACCGGGTGGCTCAGTTGGCTGGAGCATAATCCCGTACATCAAAAGGTTGTGGTCTGATTCCCGGTCAGATGTGCATGGGAAGCACCCAATCAGTGCTTCTCTCTCTCTCCCCTTCCTCTCTCTAAACATTACCTTCGGTGAGGATTAAAAAAAAATTCAAGTGGACAATTATAAAGAAACACGAAGCCCTGGCCAGTCTTGCTCAGTGGTTAGAGCGTCAGCCTGTGGACTGAAGGGTCCCAGGTTCGATCCCGGCCAAGGGCACGTGTTTTGGTTGCAGGCTTGATCCCTGGCCCCGGTCAGGACTTGTGTGCGAGGCAACCAGTCGATGTGGATACATCGACGTTTCTCTCTCTCTCTCTCTCCCTCTCTCTCTCTCTCTCCCCAAACAGCAATGGAAAAATATCCTCAGGGGAGCATTAAAAAAAAAGAAACACAAAAATAGGAGTGACAGGTCCAACAGAAACTAAAACGTCTCATTATATTCTTATAAGTTTTGTGAAAAAGATTAAA